GAGATCATCCATGGACGAATGGAGGGAGGAGAGAGACGAAGGGAGGAGGAGAGGGAAGATGACGTCAACTCAATGTTTCCAAAGATAGTATCTTGAAATGTCAGAGGTAGCGAAAATCCGAAATGTCGCGAACACAGTGTCTCACAATGTCTCAGATATCGATCTCACAATGTCAAGTACATCTCCAGAGGAAGATGAAATCAGATCCCACGAGTAGCCCTCAACCTATAGTCCAAATGTCGCTGTCTCCACTGTCATCAGAATTCGGAACCATCCTTCATACTTGTAGTAGTCCCGTAGGAGAAACCCATGAGTAGACTTAGACTGAGAAGGTAGGAGAGGAGAGAGAGAGAGAGAGAGCGGTGGAGGAAGATGAGGGAGAGAAGGCGAAGCCTTTCTCCCTGGTACCTGTCACGGTATCTATGGCGCTGAAAGGGCTGGTGCTGGGCCGTGGGCTGGGCCGGTGGCTGGCGGGCTCCCAATGCTGCGCTACTTCCTCTCTGCCGCGGAGCTCCTTCTCTCCTTGCTGCTCCTCGTAATGCTGCAGCGCTGCGCTAATCCTGCTAACGCTGAAATGCTGTGCTAATCCCGAAGACTAACCTCCTGTCTACTAACCTACCGACTGAGGCTGGTACCCAGCTGATATAGTGCTGGGTCAGCCTCAGTCCTACTGAGGTCCTTCGGGTCTGGACCATTAATCAGGCCCAACGGCTCAGATCCGATTTCGGAATCTGAAAATGGGCGCCAAACTGCGCCACCGGCTGGGCCAACCGATGAACCGGTGCCTGGCCTAAAACTAGCCGTTGGGTCTGGTGGGGTCTTAAACGAGGCCTACCGGACCCTAAACTGAACCGACGGGTCCTAGCCCTCCCTGGACCTAAACTGGGCCCGTCGTGGCCCGGTAACTAGGCCTGAACAGTGCCTGCTACAGAACCAGGCCCTAACTGGGGCCCGTGTGGTATCAGTATGCCACATGCACCTTCCTGGGCAAGCTTGGCGCCCGCCACCTAGAGATATGCCGTTGGTCCCCCCGAGTGGCATTGAGCAGAGACTGCTGATGTTCATAGGGCGAGGGGATCGGAGGGGAGGCACAGTGACTGGCCCATCGAAGAAGCTCGGTCCTGATGCTAACGGCTGACCCCTGACCGGTATCGCCCACCTGCTGTAGCAGGTATCGCACCTGTTGGTGGGTGCAGCTCCCGCATGTTCCCTCGTTGGAGTCTTGAGCACGGGTCCGCGGTTGCCATGATATGAACAATTGGGCCGGTAGGACTGCGGCTGGCCTGGATCGTAGTGCAACGAAGTCCTGTACTGGCCTCTCTTAAAGTCTTAAAGTCTTAAACCACCAGTTCACCCACACCTATTTCAACGAACCAAAGAATGCATTTTGCTGAGCCTGAAAGTGACCGGTATCACCGGTTGGCAAATTCTGGGCGGTACCGGTACTGGCCTCTCTACGGACTGAAGCACAGGACGTGCGGACAGCAGTTGTGGAGCAAAACGGAAGCTATATCACGTTTTCACTCTTCTACGGCCCTAGTCAGCTTTCGAATCTATCAAAGCAGAAGAAAAAAAAAAAAAAAAATCTACCTAGGAAAAAAAACAGGGCCTAGTCAGTTCAATGATGATGGCCATTGCCTTTTCCATAAGAGAAAGAGAAAAAAAAACGAGTGAAAAAAACGACCATGACACAACTGTGGGCAGCGCTGCCATAATTTTTTGTCTTTTCTGCATGTGGAGAGTAGTGCAACGAAGTCCTGTACCACGGCCTCTCTCCACTTCTCTGAACATGCACAAAAGACAAAAATTGTGCGGTGTATCTTTCAATGTCCCAGCGGAAGATTCACTCTCGTTTTGCACATTTCGAGAGCAGTTGAGCCAGGCCCTCAAGAAGGAAAGACAGGCGAGGCCCTCAAGCAGGAAAGACGGGTGGGTGCCTTCATCCCAAAATTGGGCCTCGTTGCAATAGTCTTTTGAATGTGCAAAATGAGACTGAATCCACCTCTAGAACATGGAAAGATACATTGGCATCTTTTTTGTCTTATATGCACGTGGAGAGTAGGGCAGCGAGTCTCCCTCCACCACTCACCTGAATGTGCAAAATGAGACTGAATAGGCGGCGGGAAAAGAGGACCCTGTCGTGGAAAAAAAAAAGAAAAACTACAGCGGTTCATCTAGCCATATTCCAAGTGAACATTCATTATGAACTTGCACAGTTGGTGAGTGGTGGAGCCACGCCCTTCGCTGGTTCTTTTATTTTTTGTTTTCATTTGTTCTTTTCTTTTGTCGTTTTTCTCAGTCGTGCTCTTTTTGGGGTGTGACAACTGCAACAGGATTTTTTTCTCGTGTGTTCCTTTTGTAATGGTTTTTCTTTTTTTTTAGGGTGCCATTGTCTTTTTTTTTTTTTTTTTTTTCCGGCAGTCCAGATGTTTTCACTCTAGTTGCTTCTGCCCAACAGCTAGACCAAGGCACACGCGTACAGTTTTTTTGGGCCCACCACCCTTGTCCTGACAAACCTCTACCGGTCCTTGGCCGAACGGCCCAGGTCCGTTCGCAGTTCACTGCAATCGATGAACAGTGCACGTCAGTGAACTGGCGGTTTAAGACCCCGTGACAATCCAAACCGTCGGGTCAGTAGGACCGCGGACAGCCCGGATTGCAGATTTCTCACGTTAGCGAAAAAGTGATAACTCCAGCCCCAAAAAAGACAGCTTCCGATTAAGCACAGCATGGCAACGGACATCATTCAGTTCACGTAATCGCCAACAAAATTGGGCATCGAGAGCAGTGGAGCCAGAAGAATCGATCCACTGAAGATGATCAGAGAACAATGTGCCATGCTTTTGGAGCGAGTTGCATAACAAAATCTTCTTGATGGATTGTCTGTGGTCCACACTCTCCCCACCATAAGCACAATTTTCAGAACATTGACCTCAACCAGCTCAACGGTTTTAAAGTTTTCGATTTCTTTTTTTTTTTTTCCTTTTCTTTTCGATGGAGCGAGGGGCCGTAAAAAATTGTTATAAGCTGCTCAGTGTGCTCAGCCCACGGTATTCTTTAGTAAAAGGCGAAAGAATAGTATGCCAAGTGAGCTGGGCACGCAGCTTAAAGTTTTCGATTTCTAAGTTTGAACAAACACTAAGTGAAGCATAGGCATCTTATTGGGTCCGCTTATTGGATCCAGTCTTAAAGCTGGAAGGCATCCTGGGCGATCACTGGCTGCTCCGTGATAGCTGCCAACTGAACAAGCAGCGGTCTCTGAGAGCTTGCAGCAAAGAATAACTGGAAACCATCCAGGCCACTGATTATGCAGAGGCTGATTATCCGCGGGAAAGGCGTTTGAACTTGGAATAATTTACAGAAGTTTGCACGATGTTGCAATTCGATAAGCGAAAGAACTTACCATAGCACCATACTGCAAAAGAAGTTCTACAAGAGCAATATCTCCAACGCGGCATGCAAGATGCAAAAGCATACAGCCCCGCAAATCAACCCTCTCCCTCTCCCCCTCTGGAGCATAACCTGCACCACAATGCACAACAGACAGGAAACAGACGATGAATCACAGAATGAACATCTTTCATCACGCATCGTCAAGGAACTTGGATCAAAAAAAGCACTGACTCGTACATGTGAAATGTGTGGAGAAAAAATACCAGAAGACTCAAAGACCACTAGATTTCTCCAGGAGTGGCCACAGATGACGCGCACATCCGCCAGTCCCCCCGACAACCTTTCGCATCAGTGCAGGGCCTCAGTAGTGGCAAGCTGTCCCAGCCCAACAGCAGCCACCTGACCGAGCAGCGGACGCCCAGAGCACCGGCCAAACCAATGTATGCCCTGAGGCCAGTCCAGCCACGATGTTCGGCAGTGCTGGAGTAGTGTGCTATGCTGCCCCTCTGAGACCACAGAGAGTAGAGAGCTTCACTCACAGCCATAGCTATGGGCAGTAGGCGAGCAACGATACCTTGTACAGGTAGGAGGACAGAGGGTGTGGTAGTAACAGGATTGGGAGACGCTTTTGACAGAGAGAAAAGGCCTGAGGGGAGAGGAAGCTTACCTGTTGAACCGGCACAAGGGACCAGCATTCGGTAATCAAGCAATGACTCCTTTGGGACTAGACCCCACTGGGAGGTGTGGCGGGGAGAGAGTACAGGCTGACTTAGATTGCAGAGGCTGGAGAGAAGAACATTACTTTCTGGTGAAAAGAGATTGGCATACACAAGCTCAATGAGAGGCAGTGATTGAAGTAGAGGGATCCAAAGAAGACGTGCTGGAGGACATCAAGACACTTGTTTTCTGTATACTGTTAAGAGTTATCGTGTGTCTCGGCTTCTCTCCTCTTTGCTTCATAGCAATTGTCATTTGCTCCATTGATCATTGGTTTGATTGAAGGCCTGAATGATATAGCTTCGAGCGTCATTTGATTTCTGTAGTACAGGCTCACTGCACCTGGCAACAACAAAGGGGAGTTTTCAAGACCAAACAGGAAAGGATGCTAACCTCATTTAAGTGACCAGGGGAGTTTTCAAGACCAAACAGGAGACAGGAAAGGGTGGACAGAGGGAGGGAGGGGACGACAGTTCATCTCCCTCATTTAAGTGGATATAAATGCTTTCAATCTGCGTCATTTGCCTCTAACACACAAAAAAAGTGCCGATGTAAAGTGACCAGACTGAACCTCCCAAGAGGGGCATGAGTAACTTTCGACTCTTTTTTTTTTTTTTTTTTTTTTTCAGAAGAACACACAGGCCCCTCGTATTCGGGGGGGCACCAGTCCGGTTACTTATCCCCAGCAAGCATGTTTGCACAAAGACAGCAGGGGAGAAAGGAAGAGAGAAGGGGGTCAGCCTAACCCTTGTGGCACAAGCCACCTCAGCAAGGGGGGAATGCTTCCGTGCACCGCACCCCCCAAACCTTTCTCGCTCCGCGGAGGATTGTCCTACTGGCCGGGAGGCTTACTAGCAGCACCCACACACCCAGTAGTGTGATCCCCCGGAAAGACATAGTGCGGGGGGGCGTTCAGGGCAGTTCCTGAGGCCACTTCTCCAATCATCAACTGTTTCCTTGCCGGTCCGAATATTGCCTAGCTCCTGCTTGAAATCATCAATCCTATACATGCCTATCTCTTACGTACGCCCTGCCCTGTCTCAGTTTCTATCTAGGCCTTTCCCAACCTTCACTATCCTTCCGTCACCATCTGGCTGTCTGTAACACTTCGTCATCCTGACCCTGCCTGAATACTGTTATGGTTCTACTGGCAACAGCATTCTTCCCTATACTCAAAGGAAACAGCAGGTCTCGCGTAACGCTCCCACGCAAGACCCTTTCCCTCTTGGGCCCAAGGGCACTGTGCAGACCACCCTTTCCCTCTTGGGCCCAAGGGCACTGTGCAATGGAACAAGACAGAGACACTCTGCTTGGACCAAGACACTCTGCTTGGACCAAGAAACAATCAAACCATAAAAAGGTGAAGAAGAAAGATATCTCCTCTTTTGTTTCCTTGGACTACCGCTACCTTTCTCAGTGTTGGGAAAATTCAAAATTGGGAAAGTAGCCTACCCGCAAATTTAGGAGGTTCCGAGGATATGCTCCACAGAAAGAAAACGTTCGGCCCCTATGGGCCCGCTCCAAAAACAAAAACAAAAAGAAGTAGGCACTGTATCGATTTGAATGATGTCGGGGAAGCCTGTGAGCCAGGACATAGTCGCAGACCTACTGCCTAGAACGCATCTGGTCACTATTAGGGCTAGTTTCACATGTTGTGACTGGTGTTTTGCTTTGTTTTCTTCTTTTGTTTTGTTTGTGGTGCCCTGCCAGAGAGGCAGGGCACATTCGACCGACGCAACTGAAACGCCCTCATAGAGGGCATACTCACCGTACCACCTTTTCAAATGCATCCAGACGTTTTTCCGTCCAAAGCTTAGTATCCTTTTTTTTTTTTTTTTTTTTTTCCCTATCCTTGATTCCGACTCGGCCGCTGTAACGCCCGCATACTCGCACAAATACTTCTATAATTCTGGATCCAAGCACTGTTTATTTTTCTTTTTTTTCCTTTGTTCTTTGCATGAGAGTACTAGGAACAAAACACAACGAGACCTACAGTCTTCCCCCGAATACAACGCACGGTCATTATAGCTGAATTTAGACTGATATATGTACCAAATTCGGCAATAATGACCGTACGTTGTATTCTGGGGAAGACTGTAGGCTCTGCAAAGCTCGGTGCGTGGTCAAATTCAGGGTCGGCAAAAACAGGATCGGAGGCGGTGGTGGTCTAGTTCCAGAACACACCTGGAATTAAAGAACTTTGAGTACTCATCGCTTGCTCATAAGTCGTATTAATGTCTGCACCACTTTGAACAAGCAATCTCACCACAAGCTGCTTATCTCCCAAGTCCACTGCCTCCCAAATACTCCTTGCAACCGACTTGCCACTCACTAATCCCTCTGGTCTCCCCACGACAAACCGCCGCTCAATATACTGCAATGCAAACAAGCAAACAGCCATCGGAAAAACCATATCCAAATTGTTAATACCATTTTCACCCAGCAATTTGAAGGTGCAGAATAGATACTAGATGGCAATCGCTCTAAACAGAAGGTTCTGCACAACTGAGAGGATGATCAGGATAAGCAGGCAGCAGGCTACAGTCTTCACTCGAATACAACACCCGATGCACCGGTCAGTATCCCAGTATCTGGACATAAAGCTGCCCCAAATACGGCTATGATGACCGGGTGATGTATTCAGGTGAAGACAGCTTTGGCCTTTTCCGATGCATTAGGCTGTAAAAAGCGTTCCCCAGGAGAAAAGTGCGCTACCACAGGTACTCCCTCAAGTTATGGAAATTTTAGTCCAACAAATACCCATTGCATCTGCATCAACGTTCGGTCAAAGGAGGAAAAACAAACGTGGGCAAACGACAAGATGCCAGGAAAAAATGAGAAAAAACATGACGACAACAGATTCAAAACGGCAAATAATGGCAGTAATGGACATGATGAGGGGCAATAATGGCAGTAATGGACATACTGAGGAGGCCAGGGCATGACATGGCCCATCCTTTGGGACATCCGTTAAAATTGGAACCATACAGAGAAGATTAGCATGGCCCCTGCCAAGGATTATAGACAAAAAAAAAAGGCAGGGTAAAAAAAAAGCGCATGACATGACCCCCCAAGGGACAAGATGAGGCAGCCAACAGAAGGCAAACACAACACAAGGCAGCATGAGTCACACACAAACTCCAGATGAATGAGAACAGAGATAACATGGACAAAGAAAGATATATGCGCCTATTACAAAGTTCGGTCACACACTTTTCTAACTGTCGGTGGCCTTATGAATACTCCCAAATCCACATTCACAAGCTAACATTTTTTTCCAGATAAGCTAGGCTGGATGAAAATGAAAATCAGAAAGATAGGCCAACTAAGATCTGGCCACAAAAAAAGGGGACAGATAAAGAGAAGGCAACATATGATGAAACCATACTTGCCGCGCATCCTGTGCGCGAGGTCGCGGCACATGCGGCGCAGAGCGCACGCGCGCGCACGTGGTGCAGCGCATCACAAAAAAAAAGGGAAAAAAAAATTGAAAGGACAGGGTGGGGTGGCCAAGCATGCCCGTCGTTTCCGAAAATCAAACTGCAAGAGGGAAAAAAGTTGGGGCCACCCCATACCCCAACACTGTGAGCACATGTGTGTGCGTGTGGGTGTGCATGTCCTAATTGTGTGTCTAGTCTCATTTCCGAAGGGCCCCTACAAATTAGCTAGGACCCCTTGTGGTTTGTCTGCATGGGCCGAGAATATATAGTCTGGATTCGAATTCAGGTCTGTGCATCACAGTTATGGGTCACTAATTCTCTGTTTTCTCGTTTTTCTTTTGTTTTCTTGTTTTCCTTTTGTTTTCTCGTTTTTCTTTTCTTCGGAATATACTCACCACATGCACAAAAGACAAAACATATGGCGACGTATTATTCCACGTTCTAGCAGAAGATTCATTCTAATTCTGCGCATTTGGTTAGTACTGCAGCCAAGCCCTGAGAATGACGTGCAGAGACCAACAGGGCCTAGCGAAGTGAGCAACCCATAACTACTGAAACACAGACGTGAATACGAATCCTGAGTATATATTCTGCCAGCTCGTGCTCCACTTCGTATTCACTGCCTGCCTCGATTTTGGTGGAGGGTCCTTGCTAAATTGCTGGGAGGACCCTTCAGATTACCGGCATGGGCCCTCTGATACGTGTGAAGAGGATCCTTTGTTCTCTCTCTCTCTCTCTCTCTCTCTCTCTCTCTCTCTCTCTCTCTCTCTCTCCCCCACCCCCACCCCCCGTGTATATACACACATCCCTAAAAAAAAAAAAAAAAAGAATGAAAAAATCAGCACATCACCAATTTGAGCACGGCGCACATGCACCACAGACGTGCGCTGCATGCATGGATGAAACGCAATGTGCTGATATAAAACAAAAGGTATCAAAGCAAAACAAACAAAACAAAAAAACAAACAACAGGTAACAAGGCAAGGCAGCACATGAAGATGCACCAAATCACATGAGATAAGAGTTGGAATTGAGACTGTGACTTCCTCCTATCATTTCCTGCCACTCCCATCAATGATGGGACAAGGCAATCACAGCACTACATCGTATGTGGCGAAATTTGGGGATGACGTGTGGCTAGTTAGGGGTAAATAAACAGTAAGAATCAGTCATTCAGTATGATTCTTCCGCATTTTTTAAACTTCATGCCTTAAATATACAAGAATTACACAGAAGAGATTGTGTCCAGTATTGGCGAACATGCACAAGCAAATCCACGCAGATGTCTCAAAATGCATTCATCCCACCTCTGCTTATCAGTGATAAGGTAAAAAAAAGGCAGTGAAATCCCTTGCTCAGGCTTATCACTTTTCGTTTGCTGTTCACCCTCACCTTTGCCTGGATGTACTTTTCCTTGACGGGCAGCGAGTCGAGGTGATGTGGCTTTAGTATAGTCTTCATCTGTCCACACGAAGATGTCCCAGACACTGTTGATGCTTTCTGACCATCGGCTCTTCTCTCAAGTTTGTGCTCAGTTGAGGGCTCTCCTTCACGCAATGGATCTGTGCCGCCTCCATCATCTTCAGTGCCGCTGGATTGACCTGCTGCTGAGAGAGGTTTAACTGAACCATCTCCTTCAGAGTCGCGTGGCAGAAGCTCTTCATATATAGAGTTGGAAAATGAATTGCCCATTGCTTGAAAGAATGACAACACAGAAGCTTCCCACACCTTAACATCCAATGTGGTTGAGCGCACCTACATAAGACAGGCCGGCATAAACAGAGAACAACATTCAAAGACTTATTTCAAGCTAACTGAGAGAGGTCAAAATCTCTGTTGACTGCTCGTAAGCATCGCCTACCAGATACCCATGGATTTCTAGAAGTACATTGAACCTCCCTATTCATTAACAAAACACAAAGATACCTTGAGAGAGAGAGAGAGAGAGAACCTCCCTATTCATTAACAAAACACAAAGATGCCGAAAGAGAGAGAGAGAGAGAGAGAGAGAGAGAGAGAGAGAGAACAAGCACACTCTGAGCTATGCTTCTCCCTCAATGGAGGACCGCGACACAGTCTTCCATTTAGGCACTAACTGAACCTACGACCAGGGTTCCAGTGGCCATGCTAGAGCAAACCATCTTGTTCAGAAAAAAATGGCAAAAGACATTGCTGTAATACCTGAATAACAGCCTCTCTCTCTCTCTCTCTCTCTCTCTCTCTCTCTCTCTCTCCTCGCCCCCACCCAGCTGGCTCTCGACTAGATATCGAGAAATCATCCAACCAGATGGGCCACACACATGAGACTGGGGGCCATGCATCACTATGACCTGCCATAATTATCGGCCACAGTTTCCTCCCCCCTGTACGTTGAGAACTCATAGAATGTTCCCTTTGTCAAAGGAATCCAACCCATAACCCAGCACACCCGAACACATGTTCGTAAGTTGTAACCTTGTTTGTTGATCAGTATAATTATAGCTCCATCAAAAAAAAAGTGAGCTTTAAAATTCTAAGACTGTGAAGTTTTTGTGAACCGCCCATTCAAAGCGAGACTTCCTCAGTCAAACTTTACCAGTCAAAGAGCAGTTGCCAGTTTTCGACGATCCACTCAAAGGGTCACTAACCTTAGAGATATGAACTCCAAGGTTCCTGTGCACGCCAGAGCACTCGATGCAGACTAGAATCCCCAGGTTCAAACTTGCCCAGTCAGGATCAGGAGCACCACAATCTGCACAGCGATCGTTGCCCGGAACCTTTTTCAGAATGTCAAGTGGCCGTTCCCGCCTGGAAACATGCTGAGAGAAGCTGCTCCCACTGCCATCGCCAAGAGATGGTCGTGCTGACCCAGTACTTGCAGCTCGTCCATGCCCTGTGTCTCTGCCTGCCAATGCAAATGAAATGATCAGGCGTCGACAAGGTTCCAACAATCGTCACTCCTCTTGGCTGAGACTTGTCAGATCCATGAAGGAAAGAATGAAATGAAAGTTATGAAACATCACACCAACTGCTGATCGTCCTCCAGTTCCATGACGATACGGATTTCGAATTGCATTCATTACACATCAACAAATGCAGTTCTCAGTGTCGACTTCATCTCGATTTCTTAAACCACCAGTACCTCCGGGCCTGTTTTTGCCAACCCTGATTTTCACTGCGCTCCGAGTTTTGCCGAGCCTGGGTCCCACTCCATTTCTTTATGGTACTCTCACGGGAAGAACAAGAAAAAAAAAAAAAGAAGAAAAGTTGCGGCCGTGAAAACTCACATAACAAGAAAACGAAACAAAGCTCTGGGCGTGATTGCAGCTGTATACATTCTCGGAAGTGTTAGTGTGAGTGTGCCCTCAGTGAGGGCATCTCAGCCCCGTGGCCAGGTTCTCAGATTCCAGAAACTCTAAAAAAAAAAAAAAGACAGGAACACAGACTCGGCCGTGAAAATGGCAAGGTAAGTGCCAGTGTGATCAGGGTTACAATCCTCTGAGGGAACACAGCTCGAGAAGATCGCATTTCAGATTGTCAGATTCCAGAAAAAGAAAACAAGAAAAAAAAAAACGGAAACACGGATTCGGCCTTGAAAACAGCTGGATACATCAGGGTTACAATCATCTGAGGAAACACAGCTAGAGCAGATCACGGATTCCGCCCTGCCTCGTTGGCAGGGGACACATAACAAACAAAAGAGAAATAAAAAAAATGAAAACAACAAGTTTCAGAATGTGACCGTCTTTGTTGTAAGATGCATTCAAGACTGTGAGCACGGCCTCCTAGACTACCCTGCCCGACATCATTGCAGTACAAAGGCCTTTTTTTTTTTCCTTTTCCTTTTGTGCACGGGGAAAATAAAACTACCATTTTTGGGACATTGCCAACCCTATGTCCGACCCCCGAAAACTTCGGGTACTGGCCAGGACAACGTAGTTTCCCAACACTGGCGGAGGTACTGGTGGTTCCTTCCTTCACTCTTGATTTCAATTCCTACAAGACACATGGCCAGCGCCCTGCCTTCAGGGGGGATTAGGCCTTGCGATCTCGCACTTTGAATGCCCTATAATTCCTGCATCTTCAATAACGCTTCATCCAAAAAGGGATTGAAGACAGTAAATGATTCAGAAAGTTCCGGGCATAACAGTTGATATGAAGCGTACTGCTCTCAACCTTCGAGATATGTTCAAACCATAGTTGCGGCGCACCAGTGCACAGTGCGGTGCGGGGCGGGGCGCACTGCGCTGTGCGCTGGAATGACAGCGCCAGCACTTGTCTCTTATACACATCTAGATGTGTATAAGAGACAGGTCACCTACAGTCTTCCCCCGAATACAACGCACGGTCATTATAGCTGAATTTAGACTGATATATGTACCAAATTCGGCAATAATGACCGTACGTTGTATTCTGGGGAAGACTGTAGGCTCTGCAAAGCTCGGTGCGTGGTCAAATTCAGGGTCGGCAAAAACAGGATCGGAGGCGGTGGTGGTCTAGTTCCAGAACACACCTGGAATTAAAGAACTTTGAGTACTCATCGCTTGCTCATAAGTCGTATTAATGTCTGCACCACTTTGAACAAGCAATCTCACCACAAGCTGCTTATCTCCCAAGTCCACTGCCTCCCAAATACTCCTTGCAACCGACTTGCCACTCACTAATCCCTCTGGTCTCCCCACGACAAACCGCCGCTCAATATACTGCAATGCAAACAAGCAAACAGCCATCGGAAAAACCATATCCAAATTGTTAATACCATTTTCACCCAGCAATTTGAAGGTGCAGAATAGATACTAGATGGCAATCGCTCTAAACAGAAGGTTCTGCACAACTGAGAGGATGATCAGGATAAGCAGGCAGCAGGCTACAGTCTTCACTCGAATACAACACCCGATGCACCGGTCAGTATCCCAGTATCTGGACATAAAGCTGCCCCAAATACGGCTATGATGACCGGGTGATGTATTCAGGTGAAGACAGCTTTGGCCTTTTCCGATGCATTAGGCTGTAAAAAGCGTTCCCCAGGAGAAAAGTGCGCTACCACAGGTACTCCCTCAAGTTATGGAAATTTTAGTCCAACAAATACCCATTGCATCTGCATCAACGTTCGGTCAAAGGAGGAAAAACAAACGTGGGCAAACGACAAGATGCCAGGAAAAAATGAGAAAAAACATGACGACAACAGATTCAAAACGGCAAATAATGGCAGTAATGGACATGATGAGGGGCAATAATGGCAGTAATGGACATACTGAGGAGGCCAGGGCATGACATGGCCCATCCTTTGGGACATCCGTTAAAATTGGAACCATACAGAGAAGATTAGCATGGCCCCTGCCAAGGATTATAGACAAAAAAAAAAGGCAGGGTAAAAAAAAAGCGCATGACATGACCCCCCAAGGGACAAGATGAGGCAGCCAACAGAAGGCAAACACAACACAAGGCAGCATGAGTCACACACAAACTCCAGATGAATGAGAACAGAGATAACATGGACAAAGAAAGATATATGCGCCTATTACAAAGTTCGGTCACACACTTTTCTAACTGTCGGTGGCCTTATGAATACTCCCAAATCCACATTCACAAGCTAACATTTTTTTCCAGATAAGCTAGGCTGGATGAAAATGAAAATCAGAAAGATAGGCCAACTAAGATCTGGCCACAAAAAAAGGGGACAGATAAAGAGAAGGCAACATATGATGAAACCATACTTGCCGCGCATCCTGTGCGCGAGGTCGCGGCACATGCGGCGCAGAGCGCACGCGCGCGCACGTGGTGCAGCGCATCACAAAAAAAAAGGGAAAAAAAAATTGAAAGGACAGGGTGGGGTGGCCAAGCATGCCCGTCGTTTCCGAAAATCAAACTGCAAGAGGGAAAAAAGTTGGGGCCACCCCATACCCCAACACTGTGAGCACATGTGTGTGCGTGTGGGTGTGCATGTCCTNAAAAAAAAAAAAAAAACAGGCCCCCAGAGAGAGAGAGAGAGAGAGAGAGAGAGAGAAAAGAGATAACAAAGGGTCCCCTTCACGTCAATTCGAGGGCCCCTGCAGGTACCTCGAATGGCTCCTACGTTACATGTAGAGTCATCGAGGACCACTGCTTCAATTAGGAGAATGGTCTCATTATCTGTGGAAGAGGTAGGGCAGACCACCAATATATGCTTTGGATTCGAGTTCAAGGCTGTAGCTCGGCAGTTATGGGTCCGCAATTCAGCTAGAGCCTGTTCGTGTCTCCCCCTGATTCTCAGGGCCTCCCTCCACCACTCATCAAATGTATATAATACAAGCAGGTGCAGCCAGCGCAGCTCCGTCCGCGAAAAAAAGTCATTAAGCAACCCCAGTGAAGAATCTCACTTCGCTCTTTCCGTCCCTGACTCTACTGTTTTCTTTGTTAGTGTATGGCTGGTGCTTTCTGTATCACTGTTTTAGCTCTTGGCGTCTTCTGTCTTTGTAAGTTATTTGTGGAAAGCAGAAGAGTAAACAGCAATAGTCACAAACAGCATGGTCATACACGGTCACAAACAGAATAGTAAACAGCGACGAATCTTCAACGATTCGAAGAACATTATCATCGTCACCGAGAAAGAGTAGAAAACATAATCGCTAAACTTAAAATAAACCGGCCACAAACGCCATCCACATATTCAATTTCACCGATTCGATTAACAACAGGTCAAGTTATGTTGACCGGTCACACCGCCCTCAGCTCTCTCTCTCTCTCTCTCTCGCTCTCGCTCTCTCTCTCTATATATATTTTGTCACAGAACTATTCACTAAGACCACAAGCACGTGAAGTAGAAGGAGAAATAAGATGAGCAAAGAAAGGAAAATGAAAGGATAGACAGGCAAAGAGACAGACAAACCAGAATGACACAGAATATATATATATCAGTGCTAAATACCCGGTCCTACCTGGGGGTCCACCACCAACCGGAACCGGGCCGGTGGGACCGGCCGGTCGACCAGCCCGGTTGGCCCCCGGTAGGCTATAGCACATTCCCAAAAAAAGGCCGGTTCAAATTTTTAATGGGCCAGGAGGCCTCCCCACGGGTTGTGGGGGCCTCCTGGCCCATAAAAAAATCGAACCGGACTTCTTTTGGGAGGCCACGAACATTGCAAGCGGCAGCCTCTCTGGACCGCTGTATCAAGGAAGATCGGTGGCCCAGATGAGGCCGCCGTTTTTGAATCTTGGAGGGAGGGCGGTCCTCCTCCGATTTCCCGCCCGTCGTCGGCCTCCCACCCGTCACCCGCCCGTCGTCGGCCTCCCGCCCATCACCTTCCTCCTGCCCGTCGTCGTGGCGCAGCGCCCATCGTCGTCCTCCCACCCGTCGCCGTCCATGGTCGTGGCCGTGGCGCAGCGCCCGTCGCCCAGGTAAGTGGTGCGTCCTCTTCTTCTTATTATTCTTCTTTTCTTCTTCTTCTTCTTCTTCTTCATCATCATCTTGCTAAAAATTAGTACTTACTATGAGAGAGAGAGAGAGAGAGATCATTTTTTTTTTGTTCTTCTTCTTCTTCTTCTTCTTCTTCTTCTTCTTCTTCTTCTTCCTCCTCTTACTAAAGCTCCCTCGTCTCGAGAATACGTGCGCGCGTGCGCAAGCAAGAGAGAGAGAGAGAGAGAGAGTCTTTTCTTTTTTTTTCATCTACTGTTTCCGCTGCTGCGTGGCAGCGAAGAGAGAGAGAGAGAGAGAGAGAGAGAGAGAGAGAGAGAGAGAGAGAGAGAGAGAGAGAGAGAGAGTTCTTTTTTTTTATATCTGCTGCTGCCGCCGCCACGTGGCATCGAAGAGAGAGAGAGAGAGAGAGAGAGAGAGAGAGAATCTTTTTTCATCTACTGCTGCCGGTGCCACGTGGCATCGAAAAGAGAGAGAGAGAGAGAGAGAGAGAGAGAA